GCATGGTGACACATGCCTTTAATCCCAGAAAGCAAGCCTTTAATCCCAGGGAGTGGTGGTAGAAAGCAGAAAGGTATATAAGGCGTGAGGACCAGAAACTACAAGCATTTGGCTGGTTAAGCTTTTGGCTGGTTAAGCTTTTAGCTGGTTAAGCTTCAGGCTTTCGAGCAGCAGTTCAGCTGAGAGCCATTGGGATGAGGACACAGAAGCTTCCAGTCTGAGGAAACAAGACCAGCTGAGAAGTTGGCCAGTACCTTTAAGATTCCTGCTATACAGAGTGATATTTAGATTTCCAAAATGAAGTTGGTCTTTCTGTAATCTATGTAAGTACTCAGTGTTTGGAGGGAGTCTTGTTCTGGGGACTTCAGCAGGAGCCCTATCAAGCACGTACAAAAGAGTTAAGAAATGTCTCCTGTTAGGCCTTGTCATCTTTGAACACTAAAGTATTTCATGATCAAAAGAAAGGACAATTAAATATGCTGTTTAGAATAACTCTAAGGAAGACACAATGTCCAAAGCCAAGAAAGAGATTTTAGAAGACACACACATGCTCTGCTCTTTAAAAGACTTGGGAAAGAATTAACATGCATGAAAAATTAGAAACTGATCCCCAAGATAACAAGAAAATTATAGGTCATGTGGAGATGACAGGATGTCATTGAGGCCTCCAGGGTAGGACAGTCATTCCCAAATGATGGAAGTTCAGGAAGGCACCTGTCAGTAACATATCTACTGGTGTGTTCCACAGTTGAGCAGGGGGAGCAGAACAAACTCATTCTGCCACCTGAGAAATGGAAATATGAGGAAGGAAACATGAGAAATCCCACTCCCTTCCCTCAAGGTTCAGTCTACATCAAGCATCAGCTTCAGACCAAGCCTTTCTCAATGTTCTGATCAAGTGGGAACCAGCAGGGGATTGTGGGTGTAGATGTTACAGGCTCAGGACCCAGGATGGACAGCTTCATTCAATTTCCCAAACCTGCACAAGACCCCAAAACATAAGGTCTTGCATGGAATTAGGACTCTACAGGCCAGGCCTGAGCCATCAAATCTGGGTTCTAGGAGAACATCCCCTTTGAAGATGCCTAGTAGCTCTGGAAAGATAAAGCAGATGGCCCCATGCCCACCACACAGCCCTTGTGATGGGGGCTTCTCTATTCACTGAGGAGCTCTTTGGGTCATTTTCTCTCGTTCTGAGCACTTGACAGCATCTGTACTTCTAGGAGGAGGAACTGTGCATGTCAACCAATGCTGAGTCTCTTCCTATCTCCAGCTCAAAACTAGTTTTCCAAGTTCTTGAGATAGCACAGGTAGCGGGACTTGACATCAGACCTTCTCTTTAGATGGGGATGATGCCACCCTCCTTGATCATAGTGAGGATCAGGGCCTGCTGTGAAGGCTGCTTCCTAGTGTGCCACTGAGGGCATTCACATGTGACCCATGATGCTGTCATTTGAACAGCCCCTTTGTTTTTTTCAAATTAATAGTTGAGCTGCTCAAAAACAAGTAGAAATTAAGGAAATCCATGTATTGTGACTTTAATGTGAAAGGCACCACATAAACTCACATGTACAAACACTTGGTCCTCAAGAGGTAGAGCCTTCCTGGAGGAAGTAGAACTCCTAGAGCAGGATTTGAGGGTTTTTTCCAGCCTGACCCCATTTCCTATCCATTCTATTCTTTCTGATTGTGAACACAACACTTCTTCTGCCATGTCATCCCCCACCATGATGGACTGTGGCTTCTGCAACTATAAACTGAAATAAACCCCGCCTCCCTTAAGTTATTTCTTATCAGGTGGTTGGTCACAGCAATAAGAAAAGCAGTTAATGGATTGTGCCTCTGTGGGAAAAAATAGCTATCCTCTCTTTTACAGCCTGAAGTGGAAGAACAGTGGCAGAACACAGCAGAGGGACAGTGTCCCCAAGTCATAGGCAATAACTGTGACTGCAACCATATGGAGAAAAGATCTTTGTGGATGCAATCAGGTTAAGGGAGTTGAGATGAGCTCCTCCTGGATAATTTATGTGACATGAACTCAGTGCAAAGTGAGATACAGGAGACAGAAGAGGAAAAGACAAGGGCATGGAGAGAAGGCCATAGGAAGACAGAGGCTGTGATGGAGCCTCATGCCAGCATCTCAGAAACAACTTAAAGGAGAAAGGGTTTGTTTTGCCTTACAGTTCCTGGAGCTGTCATCCATCTCAGCAGGGAAGGCATGGAGCTCGTGTGGGCCAATCACCACGCTGAGTCCACAGTCAAGAACACCAGAGATAGGATCATGCTATAAAACCTCAAGGCCTCCCCTAGTGACAAACGGTGGGGCACCAGGCACTGGAGGAGGCAGGAAGGATCTTCTATTGACACCCTTCAAGGAAGGGTAGCCCTGTGACACATGAGTCTTGGGATTCAGCCTCCAGAACCGTGACACAATAAGATTCTACTGTTCCAAGAACCCTAGTTACAGTCATTCCCAGCACCATGTCTTAGCACATGGTGTTTAGAAATGTAGGCTTTAGACCTCAATCTCTAAAACATAAAAGGACAGGGAAATCTCAAGACAATCCAGGATTTATTGTTAAAATTTTGTCTCTGGCAAACCCCTGGAAGTCAGGGTCACTCACCAAACAGCTTGAGTGGAAGAAGAGCTGGGGAGAAGCCACCTAAACAAAAGTCCCAGAAAACTCAGGGCTTGCCTTTTTCCTACCCACCCAGCACTACAGCCACTTAGGAAGAGCCCAATTTGTGTAGTATCTGTCCTTTACAGGGTTTCCATAGTGATTTATAAAGCATTTCAAAACACAAGCACCTGCCATGAAGTGACAGTAGCAAAGAAAAAGACCTTCAAATCCCAGAAGCTGTGCTGAAAAGACACAGCCCTGGGCCCTCCCCCACTGCCCACCCTTCATCAATGAAGAATTGGGAGGGGATCTGTCAGGTTATTTTTGTGGGCAGCATTGTTTCCTGAGGCAGCCCTGTTTGCACATGAACACATTTTATTGCATACAAATGAAATCTTTAACCTGCCAATTTATCTCTTAGTTTTATATAGCAGATGTCTAAACATCAGTTGCCTGCACAATATCAATGGGCACATGACAGAAGCATTAATATCCAACTCACTAAAACAAAAAAAGCTGGTTTGATTTTTGATATTTTTATTTGGTTGCATAAAGATTTGGTCAATACCTGCAAGGACCAGGGACAATAATGATAAGAATAACAGTTGCAGCATCATTATTGAGCATTTACCAAGTGTGATGCACTATGCTAAGCATCTAAGAAGTGATAATCCATTTAATCATTCCCAAAACATGATCAGATGAAACTTAAAAAGGATGGCCTTGTAAATTGGTTAAATGGGGCTCATAGGTTCTGAATGACTTACCCCAGCTCATGGGCTGCAGATTTGGGATTCCAACCAAGTTTCTATGCTGCTTGTGACAGTCACACCATGCAAGCTTCCCTAGTGAAAAGGCATTCCATAATTAGAACACAGGGTTGCAGCTGCAGGACCTGGAGGAGAGGTGGCCACAGAGTCACCACACCTTCTAGGCCTTGATACTTACCATACACATGCTGCTTTAATAGAAATGTGAGCTGGCCTTAGGATAAGTTGGTGTACATGCACTTGTGTGTATGTGTGTGTATGTATAAATGTATATGCTTATGTGTATAGATATACATGTATATGTGTGTATACATGTGTGCCTGCATGCATGTGTACAGTACTCATTGTGTATTGTGAGTGCATATATATTTGTGTGTACATGTGTGTGCATGTGTATGCTATTTGTATTACATGCTGTATGTGTTCATGTGTACATACTTGTGTTTGTGGGTTCATCTGTCTGAAGGTGAGATGAGAGGTTATGGCACAAGGAGATCTGTGGTGAACAGGTCTCCAGAAGAGTAGCCTGAGGTGTTCTGGCGACTTAAACACTGGTCTCTGATTCTGAAACAGTAGTTCTCAATCTGTGGTTAACAACCCCTTTGGGGTCATATATCAGATATCCTACATAACAGATAGTTACATTACAATTCTTAACAGTAGGAAAATTACAGTTATAAAGTGTAACAAAATAACTATAGTTAGGGGGTCACCACAACATGAGGAACTGTATTAAAGGGCTGCAGCATTAGGAAGATTGAGAATCACTGTCTAAAAAGAAAGCAAACCAAGAATGAATGTAAATCCCCCCTGCAAGTCTTTCAGGATGTCTCCCATCAAGTTTCACCTGACCTGAGATTGCTGCTATGCAGAACAAAAATAAGAAGGAACTGTATGTTTTCACATAAAGGTTGCCTGTTCAGTCAAGAGCACAAGGCAGGCACCTGCTCAGACCCAGGGAAGCGCCCTGCTCAGACACAGGGAAGTGATATGCTCAGACGCAAGGAAGTGCCCTGCTCAGACACAAGGAAGTGCCCTGCTCAGACACAGGGCAGGGACCTGCTCAGACACAGGGCAGGTACCTGCTCAGACACAGGATAGGCACCTGCTCAGACACAGGATAGGCACCTGCTCAGACACAGGGCAGGGACCTGCTCAGACACAGGAAAGTGCCCAGCTCAGACACGGGGCAGAGACCTATTTAAACATGTGGTATGGACCTGCTTACACACAGGGCAAGCACCAGCTTAGACACAAGACAAGACAAGCTCAGACACAAGACAAGGGTCTACTCAGATGTAGAGTGGGAGCTTTCTCAGACAGGAGAAACAGAAACAGAGCAAGGATCTGTTTCTGCCCAGAAACAGAGCAAAGATCAAATCAGGCACAAACTGGACTTTCAGCAAAAGCAATGCTGGGGGTTACTTCCTCACACCCAACTCAACTCCTTGCTAAAGTCCTGGACCAGGGAGAAGCAGACAGCAGACAAGTGGGGCCTCCTCTGGAGGACTGCATGAGGCAGAGCTGAGGAGAGGGGTGTGCAATAGCCAGCTGTCACAAGTTGCTTCTGTCCATCGCATCGAAGAGCACTGATGCTTGTGTCTTACAGGATTTTGCAGACTCTGTGTCCCAGCTGGTTACACAGAAGTTCCGTGAACTGACAGTCGGCCTGACATCTGTGTATGCCCGCCACAAATCACTGGCAGGAATCGTCATGACAAAAGGTAACTACCTTTCTTTTCCTATGGGAATTTTTGTCTCCATAGAAAGAAATGTTAATATTAACCTGGTCCTAGGAGACAAAGGATGCTTCCTACCACATGGAGATGGACAAAGGAAGACAATGTAGAATACAAAGATATTAGTGGCCACCTGATACTACCAGAAAAACCCCGCTGGCAGTATTGTGAAAACTTTTGATACTTCTCTTGATTCCCATGAATTCCATAAGATGTTTATGCATACCCTTACTTTCAAGAATGATGCCGGTATTTGTAAAAGCTGGAATCAGACACCAGTCTACCACATAAGTCACTTGAAGCTGATAGATAAGGAGGTGCCCTGCTTCTCTGTCCCTTCTAAGGTGCCTAAGACTGCTGACTGGTGATACCACTTATACAGAACAAGCATGCTACATGAGTCTGTACACAGAGCAGAAGGATGGAGCCAGTGTGTACAAGAGAAGTCAGGTGTGGAGGTGGACTGTCCAAGGGATGCTGGCTGTCAAAGTACCTTCTTCTCTCACCACCGAATGTCAGTGGGCCCTTTTCAGTGTACATTCTGCACATCCATTCCCACCAGTAGAAGGCCGTGAGAAAAGAGTGGAGGGGACACCAAAGGGACATAAGAGGACACAAAGAAACAAAGAAGTGATGCAGCAGGGACAAAAAGGAACATGAAAGACAGCAAGGACATATGGGAATCCAGTTGGGACACAGTGCACAGCAGACACGGAGAAACATGGCGGACAGGGAAAGACACAAAGGGACATGGAGAACGGGGAAGATACAGAGGAATACAAGACACTGGGGTACATTTCAAAGTAGCTGCCTCCTGAGTGTTTTAAGATCCTCTTGCTGGGGTATAAACTACTGGGTGAAGATCCTCCCTCTTATCCAGGCTCGTCATTCCAATCTGCTCACAGAAATAGAATTCCATTCTAGAAAAATAATGACAAGGCCTGATAGGAGGTCACTGCTACTGTATGCCAGGTAGGGAGAAAATGATGATTGGATTTGAATAATCAGATTCCTGAAATTTTCTAATTACTAAGCAAATGTAACTAATCCTTAGGTTGTGTAAATCCAAGCATTTTTATTTCCAAAGTGAATAATGATTATCAATAAAAATTATTTGGGAGCAATAAAAGATTCACACTCACACGTGACTTTGTGTAAGTAGGCAACTTCTAGGACTGAAAAATTATCTGGTGTCCAAATTATTTACACTTAAAAAATGAAAAAAAATCAAATGACTGTCAGAGTTTCCCTGTCATTCTAGACACCTGGGAATCACTCTAATATCCAAGAGCAATGGAACAGGAAAACAAGCTCTCAGGCCCCATCATATGCCTGGTGCAGTGTATATGATCCAGCCTTTCCAATTCCTGCATCTTAGCAAAGTGGAAATCACAATGCTTCCTCACAGTGTAATTTGTAAGATAAAGTACATCAAATGCTTTGCAAGGGGAAAATCACTCTACAGACACAATATTCTGTTCTAGGGCGAAGCAATTTGCTTTTTTCAGTGATATCATTGTATGTGGTGTCATGCATAAGCCTGAGCCACTGTGAGGGCTGCCTCCCCTCCCTTTGCACATTGAATGGCATCTGTCCCTGAAAAACAGGAAATGTTCTAAATCCAGGGCTGAAACAACCTTTGCCAAGATCATCACTGTTGGGTACAGTCTTGTCTCTACCCAGCCACCAATCTTCTTTGCACTTACCACCATTCTACATGAGAAGACTCAACCTCTCATTTGAAATCTAATGGCCCATTGAGGGAGCCAAAATGAATCCAGCTCCATCTACAGCTAGTGTGACTCAAGGCCGGTTATTTGGCCTTTCTAGGACTTAGTTTTCTCACTCATTAAAATGAGACTAACGTAAGGAATACCTACCTAGTGGGGTTACCGTGAAGGTTAAATGTGTGGATGTGTAATACACTTGGAAAAGGCTTGCTGGTTAAATTTTACTTTCAACTTGACACAACCTAGACTCACCTGGAAAGTTTTTTTATGCTTTTGTTGATTTATTGAGAAGTTAATACAATATATTTTAATCATATTCTTTTCTCTCCACCAACTCTTCCCAGATCCATCTATCTTTATGCTTCTTTGTACTTTTTCTCTCTCTCTTTAAAAAAAAAAAAAACACGCACACACAAATAAACATGGAGTGTGAATTGTGTTGGCCAAGGGTCTTAATGGAAGATTATCTGGATCAGGTCATCCTGTGGGCTTGTCTGTGTGAGACTGTTTTTTAAAAATTGATTTTTAATTGATATAGGAAGACCCAGCCTATTGTGAGTGGCACCTTTCCCCAGACAGGGGTTCCTGAACAATATAAGAGATAAGAAATTTAGATGACATCTAGCAGGTAAAGAAATAGGCCCTTACACATGTATGTGTCTCTACTCTTCACTGTGGATGTGATGTGACTAGTTGCTGGAGTTCTTGCCTTGACTTCCCCTCAATGATAGACTATCACCTGAATTGTAAGCTGAACAAACCCTTTCTCCTCTAGACTGCTTTTTGCCAAGATATTTATCATAGCAACAGAATGAAACTAGAAAAGAGTTCTAACTCATAGTAAGAAACACATAATGTGCATTGTAGTCATGCTATCTTTGATGCACATGTTATTAGCTGGGTGCCAACAATACTAAGGTTCTGGGGGAACAGCAAAAAATAAAACTGACCAAGTGCCTACTCTTGTGAATCTGGTATTCAACTGGGGAATGTGTCACTTATAAAAAACAACAAAAACCAATACAAAATAATCCTAAGAAAGTATCATACACAGAGTCAGAACACACAAACAAAACATTGGCAGTTTTTAAAAATGTGAAGTGCCTCATCGGTTTCTGCCAGGACAATTCAGCAGGAAAAGTAAGACAGAGAGAGGGCAGAGAGAGAGAGAGAGAGAGAGAGAGAGAGAGAGAGAGAGAGAGAGAGAGAGAGAGAGACTCCTCTTTTCCCTTGTGCAATACATGTCCACGTTCAAAAGTCTACATGAGTGTGACTCTGTGAGCTGGTTTTTAACAGTTTCCAGCTCTGAATATCTTTCCACTTTCATAGGAAACTGAAAATAGCAATTTTTGGAAGCTATCTTGAGACTTCACGTGGAAAACAGTTACGTTTTACAAGGGCTTATGAAAAGATAATGCTTCAGTTGCCAGCAAGCACACTATTTTCTATACAGATGATTGATTTATTTATGTGAACTAAATTCAGTATGTGAAAGAGAGTCTTTACAAGGTAAGGCTTTGTAACCAGTCATCTGTGAACCCTGGAGTATCAATTGCTGGAATTTGCTTTCCTGTTATAAAGGGAATAGTTAATAAACTTTGATTTAGAAAAGATTATAAAGAAATATGCAATATAATGAATAAAATATTTGTAAATATTCACTTACTCAAATTTGTGTGCCATGTAAACTTAATTCAAGTTCAGTTATTCAAGCAAATGCCCAAGGAATTCTAAGAGAGAGTGATGTGCATGCTATACCAATTACAATGCAATAAATTAAACTGATTCTGAAATAAATTTCATTCAACTTTCACTATTTGTAGAAGGAATATTATATTTTTAGCCATTATGAGGAATACTATTGGGAAAATAAATACTTATGAACAGGCTGATTTTTTTAATCTTCATCTAATTAGCCCGATCATGTGGTAAAAAAATCAAATAGCAAAGAACTTATGAATAGAAACTAATATTCCCCAATTTCATTGTTCTCCATTTCTATCCAATAGAATTTGTTTTATTAATCCTTTGAGAATTTCTGCATACACAAAATGTTTTGATCATATTCATCCATAACTCCTTCAAGATCTTACCCTATTCCCAACTTCATTTCCATAACTTTTTAAACCACTAAGTCCAATTTGTGCTAAACCTATGTGCATGGGTGTAGGGCCATTCACTGAAGTGTGATCAACCTACCAGCAGCCACAGCCTTAAAGAAAACTGACTATCTCTCTCCCAGAAGTCATCCATTGTCAATAGCTCCTTAGCTGGAGTGGGGACTTATGAGCATCTTCCTACTCGATGCTGAAATAGTAGCTGGCTTGTTCTTGTACAGGTCTTGTGCAAGACACCACAGCTGCTGTGAGTTCATGAATGCAGCATTCTTGTCGTCTCAGAAGACACTGTTCCATCCTGGTCCTCCCTTCTGGCTTTTTCAATCTTTCCACCTCACTCTTGCACAATATTCCCTGACCCTTAGAGAGTAGGGCTATGATACAGATGTCTCTTTATAGCTGAGCACTCCCTAAACACTTATTCTTTGTGCTTTGACCAGTTGTGAGTTTCTACATGAACCACCATCCACTATAAAAAGAAGTTTCTCTTGTAAGGACTGAGAGCTGCATCTATATTCTACCCAGTTTGTTAATTTGTTCCCAGAACTCCAAATACAATTGGTTCCAAATATCTGTATTTTCAATTCTAGCTAGTATCTATTAAGCAATGTTGCAATCTAATACTCCTTCATTTGTGAGTTTTGTAGTTATAATTTTATGCTATTACTAAGTATGTGTTATTGTATCCAATTTGGATTGTACAGCTTCCTATTCTGGTAGTTCAGCCTGATAGCCACTCAGCCTTTTACTTACTAGCCAAATTCTCGCAACTATAATTTTTAAAATAATAGGATCATAACTGTTAATGCTTATATTCTAATTAACTCTTCTATATTTTGAGTACCACTAAGAGTTGAAAAACAATAGCCCAACATCTGCATAAGTAGGCAATTGTGCATAACTAGGCACAGAAAAAGGCTGTGACCCTGAATTATATTTCATTCTCTACCGACACAATTCTTCCGAGAGAGCAACTCTCTTATCCAGGTCACAGACTCTCACTTCTGTCACTAACTCAAAATCATGTCACTTGTTTAATTCATATTCCGGGCTAGATCTTCTCATGTAAATCTTCAAGTATGTATCTATTTCCTAATGTCTTAATTTTCTTTTTTTTTTCTTAAAAAGGGAAGCAAAA